GATGATGTGGAGAGATGGAGTAGCTGGGGACTGTGGACTCAAGGGAGGGAGAGGGGCTGTGTGCTGATGGCCATGGGGCAGGCTTGCGGGGTGTACCCTTTGGTTGTGTGGTGATGCATGGAGGGGATTGTAATAATGCAATGAAACAAAATACGATAGTATGAAAGTAAAGCTAATGTTCTTCCATGTAAACTATCACTCAATTCACAATAAAAGCTTTAAAAAAAGAGAGAGAGAGAGAGAGAGAGAGACAGCAGTGGAAACTCCCATGTCCCATGTGGTGGTCCAACAGAATCTATACCCTTCATTAGTCCAAGGGTTACATTTCTCAGCAGGCTGTGAAAGTTTAAAAGATTCCTGTATTCACTGTGAATTATGTTCCCTGTTTGCTGATTAGTGCACCTTCTCTGGAGAAATGGTAAAGTTGTTATTGGTAAATATCCTCAAGTCTGCTTAGATTCATAGCGACCATACTCATGTACAACAGAACAAAACACTGACAAGTCCTGTGTCTTTCTCACAATCATTTTTATGTTTGATGGCATTGTTGCAGCCACTGTGTCAATCTATCTCATTGAGAGTCTTCCTCTTTCTCACTGACCCTCCACTTTATGAAATATGTATCCTTTTCCAGTGACTTGTTCTTTCTCATGACATGTACAAAGGTACATAAAACCAAGTTTCACCATTCTCACTTCTAAGGAACATTCTGGTGGTACTTCTTCTAAGAAAGATTTATTTGTTCTTCTGGCAAACCATGGTACTTTCTATATTCTTCTATTTTCTTCACCAACAATGAATGCACCTTGATTGTATGTTTGATCAGTTTCAGACTGCAGAAGTTGATAAAATTATTAGAATTTTTTCATCAGTGGCTTTGATATTGGTTGCATAAACTTGAATAATAGCTGTATCAACAGATCTTCCTTGTAGGTGTATAGATATTTTCCTATCACAGGCAGCATTGTATTTCAAGTTAGGTCTTGAAATATTATTTTTGATATGATAGATGCAATGCCATTCTTTAAGCATTTGTCATTCCTGGCATAGTAAACCATATGATTGTCTGACTTGAAATGGCCAGTAACAGTCAATTTCAGGTCACTAATGCATTTCCTTTCATTTTTGATGACTTCAAATTTTCCTAGATTCATACTTCATACATTCCATGTTCTGACTATTAATGGGCATAGTACTAAGACTTTCATTTCCCCCCACTCTCTCAGAGACTGTCTGGAAGAGGATGCCACAGAGAGAAAAGATCAGAATTACCCTGGCAGCTTTTTTGTCACACTTTGGGGTCCTGGCCATGATGATGACTATACCAAAAAGCACTGATAAGCCCTGATTGGCCTAGATGGATGCCCAAGGGTTTGACCTAGACCACTTGTTAACCTTATGACCTTGAGCTGGTACTTCCTCTCAGACTTTGCTTCCTCAGAGAATTAAATCCCTGATGGATGGATGGTCCTGATATTTGGTGTTGTTGAGAATGGGGGTGGGTGATTGTAATGCAGTGTGAACCACTATGTCTCAGACTCTACCCCAGGACCACCAGTGGTGCCCAGCAGAACAATTCTGGTTTCTGGTTTCTCTCAGCTGACTAGGGCAGTGTGTGTTATCTGTGTACTGATTAGAAACCTATTGGCAATGTGTTGTAGTCATTAACAAAAGGAGGAACAGACCCTGCTGTTGCTTGTGAACTTCATATCTGTGACCCATGAAGATGCTTATCTAGGAGGGAAGGCCTTGGGCATGGGACAGCATGATCCTCTATCAATGGTGTGGGGGAACCCACAGTTGTGGGGACCCTCCAATATTGGATCTCTTCCAAGTGGTGAATCCAGTGTAGGAGACCATCCAGTGTGGGAACTCTCCACTGTGTCTACCTTCCAGTGTAAGCACTACCATCCCCATGGGTATCCAGTGTGTGGGACACTCCAGTATGGAAACTTGTCCCCATTCCCCAACCCAGCTGTCAAGACCTGCCCATAGTTTAACCCTGCAGTTACTAGGCTCTCAGAACAATGTCTTCTTTCCTTCCTAACCAAAGGGCCACACCACTGCGGGCATGTTCTGAGTAATTTCATGTTCCCCCAAGTCTAATGTTCAACATCCGCTGGTGACTCATTAAAGCATGTGAACCTAATGCACTTCTTTGGGGGGACATTGTTCTATTTCTTTTTTAGAAAATGGAAAGTAGTGAAGATGATCCCATCTTTGTATAAAAAAAAAATGCATTAAGATAGGGATCTCAGTTTCTTATGAGTCAGAGTGAGTGCATTGTGTTTTGGTGGGGAAAGAAAATTCACAATGGATTAGCCAAGCACCATGGGGATGCGCTTGTTAGGAAAAAGTGCTTTCTGCATGTGGGTATCAAGAGGAAAATGAGGTTTTCAAGTCTTACCATTAGTGTGCCCTGAGTGCAATAGTCTGCCCTGTGTCGGAGGATCATCAGTGATGGCATTGCTGGGCAGGAATGGGGGTCATCTTCCAACTCACCAGAGCATACCCATCCCAATCCCCAGGAGGCTCTCATCTGAGACCTCTGCCAAAAACAGTCCAGTTGTGTGCCTAATCACAGAGGAAGGAAGGGTAGGTACTCAAAGCAAAGCCTCAGCTCCTTGGGAAGGAGCCTGCACAGCCAGATTGGAATTGGTCTCACCTGTGTTTGTGCCCAGATCAGGAGACAAGAAGGGTGGCTCAATAAGCCACACAGCCAGACTGTCCTGTGAACTAGGGGTTAGTCACAGAATAATAATAAAAAGGAATCCTAATAGTTGTGCGCCTCTTGTGAGTTCCCCAGCCCATTCTCTGAGGTATCAGATGGTCACCATTGTTGAGCACTCATATCCCAAAGGAGATCCTGAGAAGACCCACTTGTGAACAGGTTTTGTCTGGCATTGAACCTAAGAGCCTAGCACTTGGCACTTGTTCTTGGTAAGCATGTCCTTGAATGAGGCAGATACTGTATGTGTCCTTCTTTTGAGGATGTTTGCTTGCAGGCAGTGGGGGCATTGGAGGTTTTTCTTCTTTCAGCGAATGTTTGCACATTTCTGTGATGCTGAACACATCTCAGCAGAACTTCTAGACTAAGATGGACTAGGAAGAATGGTCTGACAATCTACTTACAAAAATCAGTGAATGAAAACATGGATCAGAGCATTCATATGTGTTGTGCACGAGATGATCATGAGTTGGGAGCTGAGTCAATGGCAGCTGAATAACAATACAATGAGCAGACAATAGTAAAATCAAGCACGGGAATAGCATCAACAGCAGCCTTTATTAACTCTCCTCCCAACCCCTGCCCTTTTTCTCTGTTGCAGAGTGACTACTCAAGTGATACAGAAAGTGAGGACAACTTCCTTATGATGCCTCCCAGAGACCACCTGGGCCTCAGTGTCTTCTCCATGCTCTGCTGCTTCTGGCCCTTGGGCATCGCTGCCTTCTACTTGTCCCATGAGGTAGGGCCCCTTGTCTCACAGTGTGGTGGGTTGACCTGGGGCATGCCAGGCTGAGGATGGCAGTGACTATGAAGCCTGTCAGCATCTGCTATTAGAAGAGGGGTGTATTGTATTCCTGCGCACATATGATGTGGACTAGGACAAGGGAGGACGGGGCCCTGGGGATGGTCTTCATTACAGCATGACTGGGAGTACTCCAGCTGCCCTTTCTGAGGGGAACTGCCCTGGCAACCCTGGGAAACAGGGTGGGCAGTCTTAAGGAAGGGGCCCAGCAGAATCAAGCATCCACCTGTATGTCCTGTAGCCCTCAGGGCCTGGGCCTTCCCTTGGGTACCTGTATCACTCTGGTGATCAAACCTTGAGCTGGAAGACGGTAACCAGGCCAAAGGAGCCATCAGGAAGGTTGTACTGCATGAAAAAGAAGACAAAACTAGGGCTTAATTAACTTGCTTACAGAAAGTGAAGAGGACTTAAAACATTTACTGATGAATATCAAAGAGCACAGCCTTCGGTATGGATTGCATCTCAATGTAAAGAAAACAAAAATCCTCACTACTGGACCAATAAACAACATTCTTATCAACAGAGAAAAGATTGAAGCTGTCAAGGACTTCATTCTTCTTGTATCAACTATCAACACTCATGGAAGCAGCAGTCAAGAAATCAAATGATGTATTGCATTAGGCCAATCTGCTGCCCAAGACCTTTTTAAAGTGTTGAAGAGTAAAGATGTCAGCTTGAGGAGGTGCGCTTGACCCAAGCCATAGTATTTTCAATAACCTCATATGCATGTGAAAGCTGGACAGTGAATAAGGAAGACTGTAGAAGAATTGATGCATTTGAGTTTTGGTGTTGGAGGAGAATATTGAAAGATCCATGGGCTGCCAAAAGAACAAACAGATCTATTTTAGAAGAAATGCAGGCAAGAGTGCTCCTTGGAGGCCAGGATGGCAAAACTTCGTCTTTCATACTTTGGATATATTATCAGGAGGGACCAGTCACTGGAGAAGGATATCATGTTTGATAAGGTGGAGGGTCAGAGAAAAAGAGGAAGACCCCCAGCAAGTAGCAGCATCAATGGACTCAAGTGTGGCAACAATAGTGAGGTTGGCCCAGGATCGAGCAGTGTTTCGCTCTGTTGTGCATAAGGTTGCTATAAGTCCGTACCAACTTGATTGCACCTAACAACAATTTACTTGTAAAAGTCTCTTTTAAATACGAGTAACTATATTTGAAAAGCAGCTCATGTAAACCCATCCCAGATTAATTTTCTATTAATGTAAATAGCATTTCTTAGTGTAAAACCATACCCTTTCCCCCCAGTATGAGGTCTTTCAGCCTCTTCTCACCACCAGGCATTCTGCTTGTTGTCTCTTTGTGGAAATCATGTTTGAGATACTTTTCTCTTGAAAATGAAGGGTATTCATTTATATAACTTATATAATATTTATATAACATATAATTTATATAACAATGAATAACTTTTTTCCTGTTTTTATTACTCAGAGAAGCACATTTATAATTGCCAAGTTATGCATACAATTACCAGTGTCACCAACCCCTGCTACGATTTTCCAAATGGGAACAAATATGATGGCACCCCACTTACTGGCATAGGATAGGGGTGGGTTTTTAAGAGCTGTCAGTGCTGTGGCGTGCCTGAGTCCGTCTAGTTCTGGAGTTCCGGAGCTGGTTTGGGCAAGTCCCTTGTTGGAAAAATTCTTACCTTTACCTCAAAACAGACCCCTTCACTGATCAACAGGGTTCTTGCTGTTGACATTTGACTGCTGCTGATTTTAGTTATATTTGACTGGAGAAAGGATTCCCTGAATTCTTCTTGTCCCGCTTGCACATCCGTTTCCGGAGATGTTCCTTTCTTTTCTAGCATTCAGAGATAGATACTCTGTCCAAGGAGGAGGAAGACTCTTCTAGGGTCAGTGGTTCTCAGAGGGTATCCCTGAGGACTAGGAAGGCCCTCCATGGAGCTGGGGCATTGAGGGTCTGGGAGTGCTCAGGACCCTGAAAAGAAGTAAACACAGACACCCCACAGTACAAGCAAAAGCAAAATGATGGTTGGTTCTGAATCCGCTGCCCCTGCCACTCTGTGTGGAAACAGCTACAGAAGAGGAACCTGAAGCCCACTGAAGACAGGAGCATGAGCCCCGCCCTCACTGCCTTCACTCAGCAGGCCCTCATCTGGAGCAGGGCACCAGAAGGCCTAAGGACTCCATACTGTGCCTGCTGGCAGATATCTTCTGAACCTAAGCATTTATTAAGTCTTGATTTGATTTCATTTCATAAAATGCTTCTTTCCTTTATTAACTGCAACATTATAACAAAAATTAAATGAGAAATGGGTATTAAGAACCAGATTATGAATTTTATAAATAGAACCAGCAAAGGAAATTGGTCAAATTAGAAAAGGAGAAAAAAGAGAGAGTCTCTTTATGGAACTGAAAATGTAGAAGAACAAGTCCAGCATAGCTAATAACAGTGTTCCTTAAAATTCAAACATTCATTCAGTATTTATTGTTCACTTTTAATATACCAAGTCTTTTTCTGGGCACCAGAGGTACAGTAATAAAATAAAGAAAAATCAATCTTCACAGAACTTGCATTCTAGTGAAGAGGGACAGATAATAAATAAAATTCAAATTA